TTGCAGAATCTACTGACGGGCGCCCTCATGAGATGAGTGTCGTTGCTGCACTTAGAAGTGGGGAAGTGCTGGGAAGTCAGACTGTTTTGAAGAGTGATCATAGTCCTGGTTGTCAAATTCTAAGTCTACCTGAGAGGGTGGAAGGGGCACCGAACTTTAGGGAGGTTCCAGGATTTCCTGTGTATGGTGTAGCGAACCCAACTATAGATGGTATTCGATCTGTCATTGAAAGGGTTGGGAGTTCAAGAGGTGGCCGGCCTGTTTTTTGGCACAACATGAGAGAAGAACCTGTTATATACATCAATGGGAAACCGTTTGTGCTACGTGAAGTTGAAAGGCCATATAAGAACATGCTAGAATATACGGTAATTAATCCTTGTGTGTTTTCAGTATATGAGCAGATACTATTTGCTTGCAATATCTTTAATGACTATCATAATATCATTAATTGTTCTTCGACTTTTGTGAATTGGTCTTTGTTTAGGGGATTGATCGCGATAGAGTTGAAGGAATGGAGGCTCGTTTGAAAGAGGATATTCTGAGAGAAGCTAGGCGGTATGATGGTGCGATAATGGTCATTCACGAAACCAAAGATGGACAGATTTTTGACTTATGGGAGCATGTGGATGCTGATTCTGTTCAAACACCCCTCGAGGTCTACAAAAGCTTAGAGGCTGATGGCTTTCCGATTAAGTATGCACGTGTACCTATAACTGATGGTAAAGCGCCTAAAAGCTCTGACTTTGACACATTGACATCGAATATCGCTTCTGCTTCCGAAGACACTGCTTTTGTCTTCAATTGCCAGGTTGAGCTTCCCGATCTGCTTTGGTATTTGGTATATTAAAGTATTCTTGAGTTTGCTGTTCGACTCACAAAGAGATTTCGTTTTTTTTACTTAATATTCACAGATGGGGAGAGGTAGGACAACCACTGGAACTGTTATTGCCTGTCTTGTGAAGCTCCGCATCAATTATGGAAGACCTATTAAGGTTTTGTATGATGTTCTGACCCATGAAATCGTGGATGAAGATTCCTCAAGTGGCGGTGAAGAAACTGGAAGCAATACAGCTGAAACAAGACCTCGTATTTCAGAAAGAAGAACCGAGGACCAACACGGCCGTACATTTGGAATGGACGACATCCTTTTGCTGTGGAAAATCACCAGATTATTCGATAACGGAGTCGAATCTCGTGAGGCGCTAGATGCTGTGATCGACAGATGTTCTGCATTGCAAAACATTCGTGAAGCTGTTCTGCAGTACAGGAAAGTTTTCAACCAGCAACACGTTGAGCCAAGAGTAAGAAGTGCTGCGTTGAAACGTGGTGCTGAATATTTGGAGAGATACTTCCGGTTGATTGCCTTTGCAGCATATCTCGGAAGTGAAACTTTGGATGACTTCTTTGTGAAGGGAGGGTCTAAGGTTACTTTCAAGAGTTGGTTGCATCAGAGACCTGAGGTGCAGGCGATGAAGTGGAGCATAAGGCTAAGACCTGGACGATTTTTTACCATTCCTGTGAGTCATTTCCCCATTATTTTTGGCAGGAAAACTGTAAATGCTATCTTTTTCCTGCACATTACAGCTTTGAATATTATTCGTGCAGGAGGAACTGCGGGCACAACACGAATCACAACATGGGGATGCAGTCATGGAGTCTATTGTGAATGAACGGAGTGGTTCTGTCTTGGGGAAAGGTTCTATACTCAAAATGTACTTCTTCCCTGGTCAGAGAACTTCAAGCCGTGTGCAGATTACTGGTGCCCCTCACGTATACAAGGTATGCTTCTAAGAAATGTGATTCTTTTTACTATGATATCGTCCTTCACCTTGACATCAGTGACTAAGATTATTCAGGTTAAATCATTTCAGGTCGATAGATATCCTGTGTATAGCATGGCGACACCCACAATTTCCGGAGCTAAAAAGATGCTTGCCTATTTAGGAACCAAACTAAAAGAAGAAGGCGGAGATTCCGCAGCAAGAGTAGTAGTAACAGACTTGAGAGAAGAAGCAGTTGTTTACATCAATGGGACTCCATTTGTCTTGAGAGAATTGAGTAAACCAGTCGATACACTCAAGCATGTGGGGATAACTGGCGCAGTGGTATGTGCTTCAAACCGTTAAAGCAAGATTCAGTTGCGGTTTTATTGATTTAATGTATATTCAATGCAGGTGGAAAGCATTGAAACACGGCTAAAAGAGGATATATTGTCTGAGGTTAGAGAAACTGGAGGTCGAATGCTATTACATCGTGAAGAGTATAGCCCAGCATCAAATGAGTCTCGGGTTATAGGATACTGGGAGAATATTCAACCAGAGAATGTGAAGACACCTGCAGAAGTATACGCTGCTCTTAAAGATGAAAACTACAACATATCTTACCGGAGGATACCATTAACCAGAGAAAGAGACGCATTAGCTTCCGATGTAGATGCAATCCAGTATTGTAAAGACGAGTAAGCATCATTCACCTGTCTTTTTTTTTTCATTCTTTTTATTCACTTACCGTTTTAACTGGTGGACACATTCTATAACAGTTCTGCTGGGGGTTACTTGTTTGTATCACACACCGGTTTTGGAGGAGCTTCTTATGCAATGGCCATTACTTGTCTCCTACTTCAACCTGGCCAGAAGCTTACAGCTACCCCAAACACAGTTTCTTCTAGCTTAGAAGAAGACGTTTCACCTTCACGGGCTTGTGATGGAGAAGCGTTGAGTATGGGAGATTACCGTGACATACTGAGTCTCATAAGAGTCCTTTCTCATGGTCCTCAAAGCAAATCAGACGTAGATGGAATAATCGAACAGTAAGTAAAATCAAATAAAAATCTCTTGACATATTTAATCAACCACATAGCTCATAACTTCATTGTCTTGTGTTGCTTCTTTATAGATGTGCTGGTGCTGGACATTTGAAAGAAGACATTTGTTACTACACCAAAGAACTCAGCAAGCTTCCGAATACAAAAGATGAAGACCGTTCATACATCATGGACATGGGTGTTAAAGCCTTAAGGTTAGTCTACTTAACAGAACCAAACCAATCAGTTCGTTTCAATTTTCTTTTATTACCAATAACTTTTTATTTGGTTTTGTATGAGCAGGCGCTACTTTTATCTGATAACATTCAGATCATACCTCTACTGCACGTCGCCGAAAGAAATGAAATTCTTGGACTGGATGAAGTCACGACCTGAACTTGGACATCTCTGTCATAACCTCAGGATAGACAAGTAATAAGTGTTCTCGAGTGTTTCCATACATATATAAATGTAGGCAAGTTATGTTGTTTGGTGGTTACAGCTTTTAGTATATATAAGTTGTACAGCTCTTTCTCTCCTCTGTTTGGTTTGTAGAGAGAGATATCTCATCTCTAGGTTTGTTTAAGACCCTCCGACTGATACAGCAGCTTACTCTGATCAAATAAGCTTTTTCTTTCCCTTTATTCAAAAATATGAAATAATAAAAATAATGAAAAATATATAACAGATCAATTTATAATAAGATCCTCAAGTTTTAGCCTTTCTTCGGTGCAAGTTTAGATTTGATCTTTTCAATTTCTTTAGTCCCGATTTGAAATGCTGTCGTTAAGACATGATCTGGAATCGCCGGAGTCGCCGTGAAAAGCGTGGCGGCCATAGATTGAGTTCCCGGTAACTGACTGTTGAAAGCCGAAATCACCGAAGCTGGTTTGGTTTTGTCATTGTTCTTCTGGTAATGAACCAGTCCTCTCGGGAAGACGAACACTTCTCCTTTCTTCACCGTCTTAGCGAATAGCTTGTTCGCCGTCGTGATGAAACCAACGTCAAGCTCGCCTTCCAGCACAAAGATGACTTCGGTGGCGCGAGGGTGCGTGTGCGGCGGGTTTAAACCTCCGGGAGCGTAGTCTATACGCGCAAGGGAGACTCCGAGAGTGTTAAGTCCAGCGATCTTCTCTACGTTAGCTCCGGTGACGGCGGATCCGACGGTGTTGTTAACGACGGCTGGTTTGCTGATTCCGGCGAAGAAGAAATCAGACGCGGTTATGTTCGAATCAGGCTTACAAGTGAACCCATTCACTTTTATCCCTACAATGAATTTAGACATTGTTTAACGACAAGAACAGGAAAAAAAAAACACTGAGATTCAGTTTCAGATGTCTGGTTACCTGAAGAGCGATCTGCGACGCATAGGTCTTGAAGTGTGTCGGGATCGTAAGCAAGAGCAATCACAGTGAGAGATAACAAACCAAAGAAGAACACGTAAGATCTTGAGTCCATGATTTGATTTTATGCACTCTTTTAGTTTGCAACTGTGATATCATTATGTCTAACGTTGGATCGTTATATAGATATTGTTTGAATTTGTTGAGGAAAATTATGCAAAAGCTAAACTAACTTAGACGCAAAGCAAAACCGGTTGGAGAGATGCGATGTCGTTTTCTGTACAGATGTTAGTATGTAACTTTAAAGTTTCGGTTCTTGTTTCTTCAAGGGTTAAACCGGATTATATATATTCCAGATCATACTTGTAAATGTAATTTAAGATCAACTTAATTGTCAAATCAAGAAGTAGAATTGACATCTACTTCAATGACTCTCATAGCAAGCTGCCAGTGACCTTTAAATAATGGGCTTAATAGTTTTAAGTATACCGTTAATTTGGTTAAGAAAATTGGGGGTAAGATGTTATTAAGCATACAATTAGCTGGAAGTAGATATCCTTTAAAAAAAAAAACTCGGCCCAGTTAGAATTGTAGGCCCAATAAGATTCAACAATAAGAGCCCAAGGTGCAGAAGCTCTTTCCACAGAAAGAAGGAGATAAGAGCAAACTTGTACGGAAAGTTATATGATGGAAGACGACAAACAGAGCTTGGCGAAACTCGTACTGATGCGCGACAAATGGCAAATGATTAAGGAGGGTTGCTGCTATAAAAGTGAGAGAGAGAGACGTCGAGGAGGGTTATCTTCCTCTAAAAAAACCCTAAAGTTTCAACCTTTGCTCTCAAAAGAAAACCCATGTCTTACAGCGAACCTTACATCTGTAAGTTCTTCTCTCTCTCTCACTATCTCTACGTTAAAGTGATCAACTTTATAGATCTTAGACACATTTTTGCTTCAGATCTGATATATAATTTCTGTGTGTTGTTTGATTGATTACCCTATAAACAAAACTAGAAACTTTGATATGATTTTTATCTGTTACTTTATAATGTATCTCTGAACGGTCTCTGTCTGTCTTTAATGTGAGTTTATTATATGTGTTTTGTTTTGTAGTGTAACTGAATCTGTGTCGTTTGTGTGTTCTTTTGTTATTGTCAGCGAATGGGACAGGAGTGTTCTGGGACATGGACGAGTGTAAGCTCCAAGAGGAACGCACCGCAGCTGATCTCGTACCGTTTATTAGACAGATGGTGTCGAGTGTTGGTCTACGCCGTCCTCCTTCGATCTGGATCTACGGTGATTTGACCGGCCTTGACTTTCAAGCCGAGGACGATGTTAATGTTAAGCTCAATCATTTTCACGCAGGTTAAAAAAACAATCTTTCTCTAGCTAACACTCACTTTTAAAAAAAAAAAATTTAATCTTTTACTTGTATATGTGTTAATTAATTGTCAGGAGAGAAACGTGCGAAGATGACGAAAATATTGGAGGACATAGTATCGTGGTCAGGTGAGAATCCAGAACCATCGACGGGGATACTATTCTTGGGACAGTTGGAAGACGCAGATGAGTCTGACATCACCGCGGTTACTCAACTTCTCGAGACTCAGAAAAACTATCACTTTGTGATTACGGGTCCGTCTCCCCCTCCTCCAACCGTGGTCGTGTGTCTCAGGTCTATTCCTCGTGGTGGTCTCTAAGTTTAATAATTTGGTGGCTAATTAAGTTTCAATAACATTTTCAATAAAAAGGACAAAAAGTAATTTGTAGCTTCTTATCTTTTTGTTATGAGTTAATGTTGGATAATAATCAAAATCCTTTTTTTTTCTGGAAACTTTTATGTTATACTCGGAAGCAAAAGATGATATTATCATCATGTTTAATTTACAATCTCTTCTATTTATTTTCTGTTTTTTTTTTTCTCTTTAACTTCCATAAAGCTAGAAATCACTGATCAATACATGTGTTTATCATGCATGATAGCTAGTACAATTTTTATTTATACTCAAAAATGTTTATTCAACGACTAACTATAGTAGGTTTAATTAACACTTGAGGGAAGAATTTATACAGAAAATGTCAAATTATTAATTAAGAACCCTACCCTAAGAATCCCATAAACATGCCCTTATACTATTAACTAGGATAAGACCTGCGCCTTGCGCATGGTGAATATATGTAATTAAAATATAAAATTTTAATATTCACAAATTTAAAATTTACATATGATTGTTTTTATATGTATTTGAAATTTTAGAATTTTGGAATTTTTATATAATTATCTATACGTATGATCAAAAACAACTTTAATTAGAAATATAAATCAAATCTTAGAATTTAATGGATCTGATTTCATATATCTTTTTACTTTTCAATGTTCGAGTGATGGAAAATAAATGGAGTGTCACTGGGCTTGATTGGTAGAGTATAGCAAGTTTCCTAATGTTTTTAAAGAAGCAATTGGTAAAATATTTGCAATTAAAATATATAAAGTTTCTAAACTAATTTAATATAATTTATTTATTTGTCTAATAATTAGAAAATTATATTTTTAAAAAATTATATTTTTTAAAAATTATATTTTTTAAAAATAATTTTCTAAAAAATTATGTTAAATTTAAAATTATTTTTAAAAGCAATATTTTAAGTTTTTGAATACAAATAAACAATTTAAAATTAATTATTGTCATGATTTAACATAGCCATAATGATTTAAAAAATTAAAAAAAAAATAAAAGTTAACAAATTAAAAATTAACTCAGTTTTATATCATGATTTAACAATTTAAAAATTAATTATGGTTATGAGAAGTTTACGTGTGTCAATCCTATTTATCTTCCAGTTATGAGAAGTTTACGTTCACGTGTCAATCCTATTTATCTTCCATTTTTCTCTTGCTATGTTTTTTTTTTATATTTTTGTTATTACTCGGTATAAATATTTATTTTGAATTTTATTCTCATTTCGTTTGTTTGTTTTGACCTGAAATTTAGAAAATATTTAAGTTTTAAAATAATTAAACAGATAAATACTTAGGTTAAGATCTGCACTTTATGCACAATAAGTATTTTATATTTATTATTTATTTTATATTTTTCTGCATATTATAAATAATAAAANATTTGTGTAACAAAACTTTACACCAATGATTTATAAATTACGTTATGATTATTTGAATTTAAGTATTTTCCATTTTACATATACACTTCCATAAATTAAAAGGAATGAAGTTATTATAGTTAATATATGCAAATCGTTATCAAATCGTATATTTTCCTTTTCTTCCATTACATGCGTGCGATATATATAAATATATAAAATATGTTACATGCGTTATATGCGTCTCTAATTATTTTTCCCTAGCAAATTTCAATTGAACCTAAAGCCGCCACGTCAGTTTAATTGATATGCTAATTGATTGACAACTAAGCAAGGTTACTTTTTAATTAATACAAACTTGAGGTTACATCTTTTCAAATGTTTCTCAATTAATATATAGGGGATTGGTTAAGAAAATTGGGGTAAGATGTTATTAAGCATACAATTAGATTTTGAAGTAGATAACCTTTGTTAAAGAGAAGTAGGCCCAGTGAGAATGTAGGCCCACAAAGATTCAACAATCCTAGCCCAAGCTGCCTCTCTCCACAGAAAGAAAGGAGATGAAGAGCAAAGCCAAAAGCGTAGAGAAAATAGTCTAAAAGCAAACTGTACGGAAAATTATGATGGAAAACGACAAACAGAGACCTTGGCGAGACTCAGATCACTCGAAACTCGTACCGATGCTCGACACATGTCACAAGATTAAGAGGGTTAATGTTAGTTTGCTATAAATGTGAGACGTCGAGGGTTATCCTCGTCGTTAATTCATACTAAAAAAAAAAAACCATGGATGTGTTCTCCGCACCTTACGACAGTAAGTTCTCTCACAAAGTGTTCATCAACTTTATAGATCTGGAATTAGTTTGCTTTGGTTTGGTTTCTATATGATGGTTTGAACAAACAAATATAAAATGTCATAGATGTGTTTGTTGTTGTTTGTGTCCGTACGTGTAGTAATTAGTTGCATCTGTGTAATGTTTTTTTTTTTGAACATAGCGAATGCGGCAGGAGTCTTCTGGGACTTTGACGAGTGTGAGATCCCTGAGGAACTCAATGCCCCTGAGGTGTTACAGAGGATGAAACAGAGTCTGTGGGATAAAGGCGTGCGAGCACTTCAACCTGCCCTAAGCAATATTTTTTTATAAAAACTTATAAACATATATCTACAAACAGTAAATTTTATTGTAGTTTACCGTGAGAGAACCACAGAAAAAAAATTATTTTGTCATCAAGAATTTGTAGGGATTTTTTTTTTATTTACACAAGTTTCTTAGCAATTAACAATTGTTTCCATATTTTGTAATTGATTTCTTGAAAACCATGTTCTCATTTAATATAATTTTTGCTTACCTATATACCTAACGAGATTACGTTCTATAGTTATGTTATATAAGAAATGCTTTTAACTAATTTTTGTAAAACAAATGTTGCCCTAAGCGAGTGTTTCTTTTTTCCTCAAGTGAGCACGGCTCTGGATAAAGGTCATCGTGGTCCTGTCTCGTTCAGGGCTTATGGTGATATGACTGGTCTTGACTTTCAATCCTCCGAAATCAAACTCAATCATTTTCACTCTGGTAACTAATTAAGTAAACATATATAATAAAATTTTCTAAAAATAAATCTTTTTTTTACTTATACAACAACATGCCGTATGGATGGGTTTCAGGAGAGAAACGTGAGAAGATGACAAAAATGTTGGTGGACATAGTAGCGTGGTCAGGTGAGAATGCAGAACCATCGGTGGGGATACTAGTGTTGGGAGACTTGGGAGCCACAGATGATGCTGACTTCGCCGAGGTTGTTGACCTTCTCCAGACTCAGAAAAGTTATCAGTTTGTGATTGTGTCTCCAGGATCTCCTCCACCCCCACCTCCTCCAACGATGGTCATGATTCTCCCCGCTATTCCTCGTGGTGGACTCTAGTTTTGGTGAACGAATCATTTAGCTTTTTTTTTTTAATTTGTTAGTAAATGTTTGGATAAATCAAATCTCTTTTGGAAACTTATGTTATGTCTCTGAAGCAAAAATATTAGTAGATGTTTAATTTAATACTCTCTTCTACTTGTTTTTTTTTCTCATAATGCAAGAAGATAAAATTATTCAGCAACCGAATATTAATTTTTTAAAAATTATACAGAGATATCCTGACCTCATAAAAGTGATCTAGACTAGTTACATGTTGTCACGTCTCGGTCCTCTGTCCCTAGCGATGCCGAAATGTTAATTTCCCAGTGGCCGGGATTCAGATCCAGATGGCGGTACTCACAGCTGTAAGCCCTTCACCACTTGAGTTAGAAGCCTCGGTTAACCAAATAGTAATTAATATGTTCATACTCATCATATTACAGTTATATGGGCTTTGACATACATCACATCTATCATGTAAACCCAATTATCTTACTTTTTTAAAACATAGATACCACTTGATTTTCTTTTCCTAATGTCTCAATACCTCATTAAAATTTCCACTTTTAAGATCAGTACTAGTAAGTGAGATTACAGGTGAGAGAGGTATGAAGACATAAGCAGCAAAGAGAAGATCTTATTAGGCCTAAAAAAGAATTCTAGACTGGGCCTAGTAGATAAGAAACAGGCCCAGCTGTCTTCATCAATGCGGCGTAATTTAGCGTGAGATGTTAACGATATCATCAACTAGTGTGCATAAAAACGGCTCGAGAGGCAGTTCCTTGCTCTCTTATCTGAAACTAGAGACTGTTGTTCAAAAGCAAAACCAAAGTCATCTTCATCATCACCAATCAAAATGGCTTCTTTGTCTTCAATGCAGATGGTTCACACTTCTCAGGTTCGCAACTTATTAAAGTCTTTCACATTTGAGCTCATCATGGTATTTTAGTTCTTGTCATCGAATTAAGCTGTCTTCTTGTGTTTGGTTTTCTCTGTAGATTGTTGTTAAGTCGCAGTTAGTTTCAGCAAAACCAGTTTCCTCTGGTTCTGCATTGTCTTCGAGACTACACTACGCAGCAAGTTTCCCTCTTAAGAAGCAATTCTCCGGAGCTTATGCAACCATCAAGAACCAAAGAACAGTTTGTGTTAAATCAATGGCTGCTGTAAGATTATTCCCACTAAAAGCATATAATAATCATTAAATATGTTATTGCTAATGAACTTGTTGTGTTGATTAGGAGGAAGAAGAAGTGATAGAACCTCAGGCTAAAGTGACAAACAAGGTTTACTTTGATGTTGAGATTGGTGGTGAAGTTGCTGGAAGGATTGTGATGGGTCTTTTTGGTGAAGTCGTGCCTAAAACCGTTGAGAACTTCCGTGTCTTGTGTACTGGTAAGAGCCTAAGATAATGTATATTTGTGGATAAATAAAACTATAGATTAAGATCAATAATGTTTTGTGTTTTTATTCAGGTGAGAAGAAGTATGGTTACAAAGGTTCTTCCTTCCATCGTATTATTAAAGATTTCATGATCCAAGGAGGTGACTTCACCGAGGGAAATGTAATGTTTTTTCTTCTTTTTTTTCTCAAGAAAGTGTTTTTTTTCTATGAGATTTTTATTTACAAATTGTGACATGGCTTTACAGGGTACTGGAGGTATTAGTATCTATGGTAAAAACTTCGAAGATGAAAACTTCACCTGTGAGTTTTTTACTACTAACAAAGACAAGTTCTTGTTTTCTAGTGTTTACTTCTTTGAGGTGTTAATGCTTTTGGTTTTTTTTTTTAATGTTTTGTGGATTTGCAGTGAAGCATACTGGACCTGGAATCTTGAGTATGGCAAACGCTGGTCCTAATACTAATGGAAGCCAGTTCTTCATTTGCACTGTCAAGGTAACAACTCTTCACATTAGTTATAAACTTCTAGATGTAGTCCTAATTATACTAATGCTTCTTTGTTGTGTGTACAGACTCCATGGTTAGATAACAAGCATGTTGTGTTTGGACAAGTCATTGAAGGTATGAAGCTTGTGCGAACACTTGAAGCTCAGGAGACACGCGCCTTCGATGTTCCTAAGAAAGGCTGCAGAATCTATGCCTGTGGAGAGCTCCCTCTTGAAGGTTGATAACCCATATCATTAAGACCAGTCCATTGTCATTGCCATCTTTATTTTGTTATTATGAGAGTTTGAAGTTATGGTCTTATGTTTCTTTTATTTATGATTTACATGAGTTAAAAGTACATTGAAAGGTTCTTTTAATCAAATGTAAGAGTCTTATTATGAGTATCTCTTTTAAGCTTGAACCATGGTTTCAACCGCCACTTGCTGAACAATTGTCTCCACCTTCTTCTCATCTTTGTTGTCTTCCCATAGATCAGGTATAGCTTCCTTAATATTGTGAATGCTGCTTAGTGCATAGTCTGCACCTGGAACTATCACTGA